TTTAAAAATTATTTATATAGAGTAAACTAAACGTTACACCCACGTGAAAGTCCAACAATTTTAATATAATTGATGATGATGATTGATGATGATGATGATATATAGATAGAGTTCGGCTTATAATAAAATTTGCCCTTAATAAATTCCCTGCTTTCGCTACATTATAATATAACACGACATACCCGATCGAGGAAGTTGTTATTTTTGGCATTTTATATGTAAATACGTTCTAGTCATATATAAAATTAAAAGCTTGGTTTTGTGTATATTTATCGATTCACATAGACTTTTGTTTTCTGTTTTTAATATTGCAAACGAATATAAAATTATTGTAATTTGATTGGTTAATTGTCACGAGTAATCATGGGTTGACCTATAAAAATTAACCAATCAAATAAATGTTTTCCTATGATGTGTACGATGCAAGTTTAATACGTATAAATAGCGTAAATGTTTTTGCGACGATTTAAAGTACTTTTTGGTAACACGACGTTTTATTAACAAAAAAAGGGTATAAATAAGTTACTGGGTAATCAATTTACATGGCTCCAATTAGCATAATTAGCATTGTCACAAAATTCAATACGACTATTACATTATCGGTATACATGTAGTAATATTATTAGCGAAGCTTTACTTTTCATTAATTTGTTTTAAATATTAATTCTATTCTATTTTTTTGCTATTTACTTATTCTATTTATTACAATCTTTAGTCTATTATTAAATTAAATTTTTCACTTATACATCAGAACCAATATTTACGCTACTCGACAATAACAAGACGTAAATATTATAAAATTTTCAAAGCTTATCTAGAATACCTTGGTATCTTTTTCTCATATTTGCGCATCTTGAAGACTAGTATTGTACTTCACTTTTATCCCAGTAAGCATTAATAATTATGAAGTAAAATTTTGTATTTATTACCAATAAGTATTACAATCTAAAAAAAGTAGCGTATAAACTGACGACTATTTAAACAACGAAAGATTTAACATTAGCAGATTTGGGTAATTGGACAATTTAGCTTTCCAGTGAATTCTAAAATCTTAAAATTATCTACACAATTTTTTTTAGAAATTAGTAATTTCTATTAAATTTTAATAATTGAACAGTGTACGTAGCACTTAGTGTGTAACATATACATGTACTAGCGGAATGATCTGGGTGAAGGATCAGTCGTGTAAGTAAAATTCACTGGATATAGAGGCTGTCCAACCCTGGACATTGGCTGCGAAACCTTTCAATATTATGTGTTTTTACATGGTCTACCTGTTAACATTGTCACTAGTAAAAATTTTTGATCAGGGTGAAACCTGAGTTGCAAGATAGTGAAATCCACTAAGATCATCATAAGGGTGAAATCCGCTTTTAAAACGCGGATTTCACCCTAACCCGATCTACAAAGCGGACTTCACTATTTCGCAACTCAGGTTTCACCCTGTACTAAAATAATTTTTGATCAGAGAAGCTAGAGCTTTGTTGAACATAAGACTGAAATATCAATCATGTTTTAAAAAAAAATCTTTACGAAATCCCAAATTTTAAGATTGTGCGAGGTAAATTAACCAATCAGCAGGAGTTAATTTGAAATCAAATCTGCCTCTATTCTCGATCAATCAATAATATTTCAGGATCAACCGTAATCAAAAAAATAATTGAGACTTAAAAATTTTTAAATTTTCGCATTTTAAAGTTAACATTCAAAATTTTGAAATATTTTACTGTAGAATCTAATAAACTTCGCACCCTTACTGAAAGAAGCTGGTTCATGGTTAGAGCAACCTTGGATTTGAGAGAGGAAAATGTCAGCAGATTCACATTGCAATGCTTATTAGACCCGAGTGGTAATGAATCAAAATGAGAAAAACGTTAGCGATTGCACTCTGTAAGAAATTACTTTGAGTCTTAAAAGTAAAATTGAACAAAAAAAAGAAAAAAGCGTTAGCTGATGTCCTCTGCACTAGTGTTCTGCGTTGGTAAAAATTTTTCCAATCGATTAATAGTTGCAATTAATCGATTTTTCCTATCATGTGACTAAATTTGTTGGTTGGCCAATCAAGCTAAAGAAATCAAAACGAATAGACGGAATATAACTAGTTGATGATTTAATCGTCAACTAGTTTGTTTTTCAACTAACGATTTGGAACACTACTCTGTACATCAATTGTTGGTGATAAGTGGATTGAGCCAGGAGGAAGAGCATTAACGAAGGCACTCTGCAAGAACATCATATTAATTTTAAATCTTGAAAATAGTTGGATTGTACCAGAAGGAGAAAAAGTGTTAGCGAGGCATTTTACGAGAATGTCGCTCTGACTACTTATACAAATCGGGTCGGTTTTGAAGCAAGAAACGATTAATAACTGCACTTTGCAAGAATTCCACGTTGATTTCTTTAAGTTTTTAAAGAAGTAAGATTAAATCAAAAAGGAGTGGAGCTTTATATGATATGCTCTGCAAGAATCTGCAAGAACACTACATTGTATCAGAGCTTGATTATGATCTTGGACCAGTTAAAGGAAAAGAATAGTGGAGGAAATCATATCGATTTCTTTGGATTTTGTTAGAATAAACTTGAATCAAAAAGGAGAAAAGAATTGGTTCTGAAGCAGAAAAGCATTAGCAGCTGCACTCTACAAGAATTCCATGTTGATTCTTTGAGTCTTGAAAGGAACCACAAAGGGAAAGAGCATTAACCGACGCATACTGTAAGAACATTACACTGTCTTTATTAGATTTTAGTTATCAAAAGCGTAACGGAGATATTCTTGAGGAAACCACGCAATTTCTTTGGAACTTCGTTGGAATAAGCTTAGTCATATGGAGGAAAAGCATTATTGCATGCTTCTTACAAGAACACTATGCTGAACAGACAATTGCTGATACATTTTGCATAAACTTTGCACTAGTGTTGTTAGGTGAAACTATTTTTGGTAAATGGAGAAAGTCGAAACTGGCGAAACGTCGAAACTCTGTCGAAACTCCCAGTAAAGCTAAAACTCTTGGAGAAAGTTAAACACAGCCCTCTAAGATTTTGGAAAGACTGAGCCATGTTTGTGAATCAAAATATTTTGCATGTGGCCATTAAGCACAGCATGTGGCTTATATAAAAATGTATTAAAGCAATAAACAAAGTGATGGTCTTTTATTTGTATTTGAGTAATATTAAAAGAAAACCAAACTTCAGGCTTTTGAACTTATAATAAATCAATCCAGTGCCTGAAAATTCGAAGTTTGAAATCTTATTTTCTTTTAGTGTTTATTTATGTAGTAATATTATTCGTTTTTTTTTTGTTTTTTTTTGGTGTTAAGGTATTGATATTATTTGTATAAACTGAACTTATCAATAAATTTACTATTATAGTTAAGATTTTTTTATTTAGCATTCATCATTAAAACTTTAATTAAATACTATAAATATGTAAGTACTTTGTTAGCATTTTTTTCCTTTTTGGCAACCTTGCTGTTAACCTTTATTAAGATTTGTATTTACAAATTTGTATATACATTGATCTAATTTACTGGTTTGACATCCTTTGGCTGCTTTAATGAGTTTTTAGAGATGGTCTGTCACACTAGTTAGGGTAGTACTCAGATTCAGGGGCTGTACCAAACTAGCCTAAAAGATCATATGAAAATGGTCTTATTTTACTTTTTATGTAACTTTTAACTGAACCAAACTATATTTTCTTTATCTTACTGTTTTCTATCTTTTTTGACTTCTTAATCTTCTTAGCAACTTGGTTTCTTTCTACTTTAATTGAACTTTCTATTTGACTATGTATCTCTTTATTAGATAGTTTTGACTTTCTTTCTAATTTTCTTCACTTTGATGATTGGTTGATGTTCATTAGTTTTTCTTATTCAATAATAGTTTCACATCTTCTTTTTCATATATTTTCATAAAACTTATTTTATATATATTAGTTATCATATTTAAAAATTCTTTTGTTTTCTTAAGCAGTTTTAGTATGCTTTGTATTTATTCAATTATCTTTTCTTGAACTAGACATTTGACTATTCCTATACTTATTTTTTTTTTTTTATTTAATTACTTACCAAAAGATTTTTTTAAATTGCCTTTACTTATAGTTACTTGTATTTATTTTAGAGTTTAACTTATATAAGATTAATCAATAGATCTTTTATTTTTTTCAATTATTTTCATAATACTTGCATGATATTAAATGTTCTAGGTTTTTTTTCTCTTTTTTATTACAAAATATACAAAAGGATTTTTGTAAAAATCTGGTCTTCATTGTATTAGAGGTTTTAGTATCTTGTTGATCCAAGATTAGTACTAGAATGATATATGAATAATTTTATTTTGGTTATCTATAAATTATAAATAAATAGTAATTATTGATTAAGTCTAAGAAAATGTTATAGGGTTTATGTAAGTATCATGGGCAAAGAAGATTGATAATTAGTTAAAAAAGATTATTTAAGAATTAATCTTTAGAGATAAAATTGTGTATTTTTCTGTTTACTATTGCATACCTAATAGTTAGGGCTGGCTCTGCTATATTCCTTACTTATCTAGACTAAGAAAAGAGTGTTATGTTCTTTTATAAGCTTTATAGCTGCAAAAGCAGTACAAAAACTTATATTAATTGGCTTTATAACTGCAAGAGTAGTGCAGAGATTTAAAATTACAATTGTAAAAAGCAGGTGAATGTAAAGATGTGATACTGCATAGTGCAATTTTTATAATTTTGGTCAGCTTTATAATTTAGATTTGAATACCAATCAGAAATAGTCTGAAAGAAAAATAAATCTGCATCACCTAATTAATAAAATCTATCATTATAATTCTAGTCAAACTTGCAGATGATTTGATAACATTTAAAGTTGTTTTGTTCTAGATTTGGCCAAATGATCTGCAAATTTGACCAGAATTATTAATTCACTAATATACAGAGAAAAAGTAAAAAAAAATGCAAAACAACAAAAACTAACATTTAAACTAACATTAAAACACTAATTAAAAATAATAGGTATAAATAAAGTAGATATTATATATATATAAATATAAAATCTAATAATAAAAGTCTCTAAAGACTAAGACTATGCAAGCTGTGTAGGCTGTGTAGGCTGTGCAGCTTGCATAGTAGATTTAAAAAAAAACTTAATTTTCTTATTTCTAGATAAGTGCTTTTGGGCTCTATGACTGTATTAGCAGTACAAGGACCCAAATTTCAATATTTTATTTACTCTAAGTTGCAATAGAAGTGCAAAGATTTTACTTTCAGATCCTTTTCTAAACAAATGCACTATACTTCTTCCTATTTCCTAGTTGATTTTCAACATAGCTATGTGATTTTTATGAAGAGAAACTGTAATCTAATACTTATAATATTTTAGTAAAATATATATAAATAATTAGTATTAGTACTATTTAGATATAATAAACTTATTACTATATATTATTTTTTTATTATATATATATTAATAAAGTTTCTGATCAAGTAATAATAATGATAATTACTTTATACTAATTAAGGTAATATAAGGAGTAATAATTTTAATAATATATATAAAGAAGGTATAATAGTTAAATAATAAATATAATGTCAAATAATACACTAATAGTCATTAGGAATTTTAATAATAAGAAGTAATAAAAAATAAAAAAATATAAAATTCATTTATAACAGAGATGAAATTGATTCTTATTTCTTTTTATAACTAAAGAATTAAAGTTTTATAATAAATATAAAAAGACAATAAGTCAACCCTTACTATAGTCATACCTGCTATAATCACAATCTCAATAAAGTTACACAATTTTTTAAACCCATTTTTTTTATTATTAATTTTCTTATTTATAATTACACTAATATAGTAATTACTATTACATATTTTTTTAAGAACTAATTATAATAATTATATATAAATTTCTCTGATTATAATCACAAATTATAAAAACAATTTAATAAAAAAAAATATACTGATATATTTTCAGTATAGATATTAAGGACTGATTCAAAATTTGCAATTTAACATCTTAATTTTTAGTTTTATAGATGATATACTAGAATATTATAAATATAGAAGATACTTAATATCAGGTTTCTAGATAAATATATCAACATCTGACATCTTGCCCAAAGGAGTTAAGTTAAAAAATGATGTAATATTTGTATAAAAATAATACATAAAACATCTAACTGCAAAAAATTTAATCATTTTAACATTTGGATCATAAAAACTAAAAAAAAAGCAAAAAAGAACAGCTATTTCTTATAGTTTAAAAAAATAAATCTGTTTGTTTTATCAAAAATATCCTAACAAAACCCAAAATAAGCTTAAATATAAGTTTAATTTAAAGTATTAATTAAATTTAAATAGATTTATGATATCCAAGATTTTATCTAATAAGGAAAAATGAATAAATCTTATACTTAATGAGACTAACAATATTATTTTTCATAAAAGTAGAGTTAAGCATTCAAATTTAGAAAAGGCTCTTAGTATTTGGATTAACCAAGTAATAGTATTAGGTTTATCAGTTTCAGAAGTTTTATTATCTGAAAAGATTTATTATTTTGCAATAACTATGAGTATTCCTAAAGAAGATATAAAATTTTTTAATAGTTGGTTAAATGGATTCAAACAAATATATAATTTAAAGATATATAAAATACACAAAAAAGCCAATAATATGCTATTTTATTATTACCTAATTACAAAGTATCAATCTGAAAATGTGTTTAATGCTAATAAGGCAGGATTATTTTTTAGGATAGAGCCTAATTAAGCCTTATTATCTGGCCTGTTACTGGAAAAAAAAGTGATAATTTTTGCTAATAAATTTATAATAGAATAGTTTTAATACTTATAAGAGGTAAAATTCATCAGACAGGCCATTTTTTAAAAATGGCTTTATCAATTAGTATTTGAAATTAGGTAAAAATGTTTAACATTCTAAAAAACCATTTAATCTAATTTCTAATTTTAATCCTGAAGCCTAAGAATAATAATATACTAATAAATTTCATTTTAGTGATTTCTAAATAAATTTGCCAAGTTCATAATTAACTTAATAATTTTTTAAAATAAAAATTAGCTAATAGTAATATTAACAGCAAATTCTACAGATACTGAAAAACTCAAGCCTCTTGTCATCAGTAAATCTAGTAATCCATATTGCTTTAAAAAGGTTAAAAATTATGTTGCATTATTTGTAACATATAAAGATAGCAAAAGAGCATAGATGAAATATGTCATTTTTGAAAAATATATAAAAGATTTAAACTATAAATTTCAGGTTGAAGACAGGAGAGTCTTATTACTAGTTAATAATACAGCATTCTATTTTAAGCAACATGAAAAAAAAAAAGAGAACAAAACTGATAGCTATGTATTGTAAGTTATTTTGGTTTTTTTTTCTAAAAAAATAAAAAACTTTATTAAATAAAATCTTTTATAACTGTCAAAAAAAGCAGTGCAACTGACAATAAAAATTCTAATTATGGTTATAATCATGAATATAAATATAGTTATAGACATGGTCATAGATGTAGTTATAGACATAGTCATGAATGTATTTATAGTTGTAGTTGTGAACCTAATGAATATATCTTTAGCAATAATAAAACAGATAATAGTAATAGTAAAACAGATAATATAAACATTGACAATAGTAGTTATAAGTATAGTATTTCTTATAATATTATAATAATAGACAGCATATCTTTATTATTATTTATATTTTTCAGATCTTTCTATTTGTGTTATCTTAAAAACAACATAAAAAGAGCTGATTCAATCTTATCTTCTTAGTTTCTATAGTTATAGCATTTTTCTTAGTAATAACAATTGCAATAGATAATTAGTGCCTTTTAAATTCCATATTATTTATTTAATTAAAATAAAAATTACTAACCTTACTTTATTTCTTATTTTTTAGTCATAGTCATAATAATTTTATTTCTCTTAATAACAGGTAATCTAGATCTTTTTAGTTTAAGAGAAAAATACAAAAGACACTTAATGGTCTTTTATTTTCTAGCTATGGTATGTCTACAATAAGTAATTAGCATTTTTTAAACCATTTATTTATTTTAATCTAACTGAAAAATATTTACAGCATTAGCCTAACTTTATTTTCTTATTTCTAGTGCTAGTTCTAGCTATAATTGTAGCTGGAATATTTTGCCCAATAATAGCAATAAGTAATAATATTTTCTTGATTATTTTAATTAAATTTAATCTAAAAAAAATTATAAAAGACACAAACTAAACTAACTTCATTTTTTATTTTTTAGTCTTGATAATAGCTGTAATCATAATTGTAGTATTTTTCTTAATAATAGCAATAGATAAATTAATATCCAATTCTTTTACTTAAATTTAATCTAATAGAAATTATAAAAGAATTTATTAACAATAATTTGTTTTCTATTTTCTAGCCCTAGTTATAACTATAGTTATAGCTATGGTATGTTTTCTAATAGTAATGGTAGCAATAGATAAACTAATACCCAATTATTTTACTTAAATTTAATTTAAAAGAAATTATAAAAGGATTTATTAACATTATTTTGTTTACTATTTTTTGGACCTGGTCATAACTATAGTTACAGCTGTGATATGTCTCTTGAGAGTAATAGTAGCAATAAGTAAATTAATACCCAATTTTTTAACTTAAATTTAATCTAAAAGAAATTATAAAGGATTCATTAACATTAATTTGTTTTTTATTTTTTAGTCCTGATTATAACCATGATCACAGTCATGATATGTTTCTTGAGAATAATAGTAGCAATAGGTAAATTAATACCTAATTCTTTTACTTAAATTTAATCTAAAAGAAATTATAAAAAAATTTAATTAATGTTTTCTATTTTCTATAGCTGTAATATGCCTTCTGTGAATAATAGCAACAATAGGTAAATTTATATCTTATTATTTTACTTAAAAAGAATTTACTAATTTTTTTTTCTAGTTCTGGTTATAACTATGATCATAGCTGTAATACTTTTAAAAATAAAAATAGTAATAGGTAATTAGTATTTTTAAATCATTTAAGTCTAGCTTGAGGAAAAGTATAAAGGTATATACTAAGCTTATTTTTTTTATTTTTTTATTTTCTTGTTCTGGTTGTGAATTTTTTAATAATAGTAACAGGTAATTAATACTTTTTTAGATTAATTTAGTTTATATGTACAATATAAAAAAATTATTAACCTAATTATATTTTTTATTTTATTTAGTTATAATTATAAATATGGTTTTTCAAATAGTAATAATAATAGCAGGTATTGTAATTAAAATTAGATATTGAGATTATATTTATGATTTATAATATATTAAATTAAGTATATAAGTATAGTAAGAATTTAATAAGCCAAAAAAGTTTCAAATAAAAATCAAAAATTTGTAAAATACTATACAGTGCTGACTATGGTACTTTTATGCAAAATACTTCTATTAAAAATTTTATTATAAAATATAGTATACCTAGAGATAAGTATATTCTATATAAAAAAGCTTATTATATAAAAGATCACTAAGTATAGTGCTTCAGGTATTGTAGAATATATTGTACTTGATGTATCATAATTAGTACTGTATAGTATTATAATTTGTTATTTATAAGGATAATTTATTAATTATATATTATATATTTTTTTTATAGAAGTAAATGCAAAAAGAAAAATACTTTAAAACTAAGCAATATTACTCTTTATTTTTTGTTACCTTTTACAACAACATATCTTCAACCTATGGATACTAGTATTATTAATAATTTTTTTTTTTTTTTTTAAATATTAACGGTGAGGCCATGCCTTTAACTTTATTGAAATTCAATTGAAGTTTTTACAAAGAAAAGCTTGCTTTTAAATTACATATGAAGAATAAAGACTCAGACATATAATCTGCGACCTAAACCTAATTATTAATAATTTTAAAGTATATAAGATTTATATTTTTATTAAAGTTTTTTTTAATCTATTTTTAATAATAATAATTCATAACATAAATATAAACAATTATATGCTTAAAAGTTAATTAGAAGATTTGAATATAATGAAAAAGATAAGTAAGTTAAATTAATTAAATTAAATTAAATTAAAATTTTATATATTATTAATTATAATCTATTATTAGAAAATTAAATGTTTTAGAAGCAATCAATTTTATTAGAGATGCATAAAGTAGTGTTATACAACAAACAATTTAAAATTGTTGGAAAAAAATAGATATTTTATCTGATTCTAATTTATTAATTATTGAAATAACAATTTATAATATAAATATAAACAATTATATGCTTTAGAGTTAATTAGAAAATTTGAATGTAATGAAAAAAATAAATTAAATTAATTAAATTAAATTAATTTAAAATTTTACATATTATTAATTATGATCTATTATTAGAAAATTAAATGTTTTAGAAACAATCAATTTTTATTAAAATGCATGAAGTAGTATTATACAACAAACAATTCAAAATTGTTAGAAAAAACAGGTATTTTATCTGATTCTAATTTATCAATTATTGAAATAACAATTTATAGCATAAATATAAACAATAATATGCTTTAGAAATAATTAGAAATTTTGAATATAATGAAAAAGATAAGTAAGTTAAATTAATTAAATTAAATTAATTTAAAATTTTACATATTATTAATTATAATCTATTATTAGAAAATTAAATGTTTTAGAAGCAATCAATTTTATTGAAAATGCATAAAGTAGTATTATGCAACAAATAATTCAAAATTATTGGAAAAAAACATATATTTTATCTGATTCTGATCTATCAATTATTGAAATAATAATGAAAGAACAATAGAATTTAGAAGAAAATAATATAGTAAATTTACAACAAATTTTAAGTTTAGAAGTTATTAAATATATAAGTAAGCTTATTACTTATATTAATAATAATAAAATTGTTTTAACAAAAAGTTTTAAATGATGAACAAATTATTGATCTTGCAATTTAATCTGCAGAATTTGATATTAGTTCAAATAATAAAGAACTAGTTTTAATAAGTTATAAGGAGAGATTAAATGCTTTAACTATTTTTATTAATTATTTTGAACAACAAAACAGATGTAGAATTTAAAATTGAAGATTTGTATACTTTAAAAAAATATAATAATATTGTTAAAAAAATATAAAACAAAAAACTATAGAAATTTTTTTTTAAATCTATAGTTTTACATTAATAAATATATTTTTTAATAATATTAAGCTGTATAATATTAATTTTTAATATAAATTTATAAATTTTATAAAATTTTTTTATAGTCACACTCTTACTATAATTACATATTTTTAAGAGCCTAAAGGTATGACTATAACAAGAGCTGACTATATTTTTTATAATTTAAAAATATATATAAAGTTATAATAATTTCAAATATTTATTTTTAACTCTAAGTTTATTTCTGTAAGTTCTTAACCTTAGCCCAACCAAATTTATTTCTTTCTAAGCCAATTTTAAGAATATATTTCTTCTATTTAACTTTTACTTCATACAAAAATAAATAAATAAAAGAAGCATATATATAAAATTAAGAACATCTATTTATGTTATGTACTTATTTAATTTAAACAGGTGCTCATGTGATACAAGCAAAAAATTATAAATACAATCTGAGTATAATAAAAAAATTGCAGGTGGCTTATGCAAATTGATCTATGCATGCATATATATAGAATAGTACAACATGTATAATATAATATAAGATAAAATTTTTTGATGAAAATCTTGTTTGTTTTAGTCAAAAAGGAAATATGATGGATCATGAGTAAAAGTGCAACTAATAAATAAGATGTCTTCTAGCTAATTATGCCAATAGCAGGTTTTTATGAAAAAGATCTACAGTATTCTGACAAAAAAAATTGAAGTGGGTTAATAACTTTTTTTTTAAATAAATGAGAATTAGATCTTATTTTTGACTATAGTGTTCTACAGCTCTAATGAACATTTTATATAATTTTTTTTACTTTATTATTGTTAGTTTTTATTTTTTGAAAAGTACTCTAAACTATATAAATAATGTAAAATTAAATTAAATTTATTAGCCAATTAGACAGACTTCTGCCTATGAGAAGTCATTTGCAAGTAGACTTAGCTCTGATTAGTAACAGATAATATGCAATAGATTTATTTATTTAGTATCATGTTAGTGCTAAATTAGATAAATAGTAAATAACAAATTTTGTATATCATATCGAAGATATGTTTTTAAATAGTAAATAATAAATTTAAAGATTAAGATAGCCATATTCTGTGTTTAATAACAGCTGCCACAAAATTTAAAGCCTTACATTAGCATCATAAAAAATTACTAGGCTTTTTCATTTTTTATTAAAATCTTTTTAGGATTTCTTCATGTTCAGTTAGATTTCACATTTTGTCTTTTTTGAAAATTTTTGTTTTTACTGAGAAATATGGAGTTTTGCCAGGGTTTCTTTTTCATCATTTACAAGTTCTAAGTTTTGTCTTTCATTATCATATAAAAAAGATTTTACCAAACAACTGTATTTCAGCTCCTTCTATCTTGTTTCTGATTTTGAGTTTCATTTTTATTAAGGAGTTTTAGTTCGTTATTATATAATAAAGAAATTTCTATCAAATAATAAGTTAAATGCTATTTTGTGATATAAACACTTCAATGCAAGTTTCATTGATATTCTGTAACTATGTTGGTAAAACTCTTATAAAATAGGAATAATGTCTTTCATCTATATATTCTTAGGATTTATAGATTTTGTTTTTTGAATAATTTGCTTATACTATTTTGACTAAATATCAAAATTTACAATTAAATTTAATTCACATAAATATGTAATAATAAGATAAAATTTTTTAACTATAATTGTCATGCTGCAAGTTTCACTCTTTTCTTTTATGGAATTTAAACTTTAATAAATACAGTAGTTTTGATTGTAAATATGTTTAAATTTATTATCTATTAATATTTTAAAAAAAAGAGATTAATTATTAACCTATTAACAAACCTTTTTTATGAAAATTTTTAAATAATAATTCTGGGATATTAAAAATAATTTAGATAAAAGAAAACATTGAGCAAGTATAAATTAGGTACCTCTTTAGATAAAACATATTTTAAAATTAAGAATTTTGTCTAATTGGCAATTTTTTATTAGTTGTTCTGAATTTATTAATAGCTTACTATTGTTATACAATCCAGTTTTTAAGTGTTTCTGTTAGAATGCTTGGACAGATAACCTTATATCTGAGACTAATTTAAAGCTACGAATATTTACTTTAATCTAGTTTTTATGAGATAAATTCTCTGTAAAATAACTCATTGACTTGTATTAGTTTTTTATCATTGATGAAACTGGTAACTATCAGTGAGTAACCAAAAGTTCCTTCAAATAGATCTTGATTTACATGTGCAATCATCTAATTGCCATTTGATTGCACAATTGTGTAGTGATTTATTGTAAAATAGTATAGATATAAATGATAAAAATCAGATATACATTAAATATTTTAATAAGAAATTATAGTTACACAATTAGATGAATTTAGGTGGCCATATCTAATCAAATATATAATATTTTGCAAAAAAAAGGATAATTAAAACTAATTCTAATTTTTAAATTAATTTTCAGAATAAATTGTCATATTTAAAGTCAATTTTATCATGCCAAAAGAATTAAAAAACAAGTTAGTTTATCTATTTCTTATTTGTATTTAGTCTGAATATAATAAATATTTATTAATGTGCTAGTTGTTTACTTTAAGTTTGTAAGTATAATATTCATTTTATATATATACCTGTTTACAAGTACTAAAATCTCTAGCACTAATGTGTTATCATGATAACATATTTGATTTTCTTTGGGATTTTTTTTTATTTATGCATCATGAACATAATGCATTATAAAGAATTGCACATGATTTAAAGACAATTGAATTGAAAATGATAAGAAACAACTATGGATATTTTTTGTGATATTTTTTGGGCCATTTGTTCATAAGCATAATTATTTGTGCATAGTCCTGCACTGCATAAAATATGATACAACTATTACTATAATACTAGAAAAACAGATATCATTAGATATCTTGAACATGTTAAAAATAAAAGCAATTATATTGGTTGATACAATTGACAATTGATGATTATTAATCTAAAAATAAGTGTGAACATAAGTACAAACAAAATTTGGTCTCTCTGCTATACTTCAGATAATTATAGAAATAGTAGTATAGGTTGATTACAATATTTTCTTTTTTATCATCATAATTTGATTTCTGTGTTATTTGAAATATAGTTTAAAGTAAGATTAATTTGAACCATAACTCAAACACATAATTTGAGAGATATTTTTCTTAACCAATCAGATCATTTTACATATTAGCTTATCACCATATGGTATGCACAAGAATCTAAAAAGAATGCATATATGCAAATATTAATATTAATAGAGGATTTAGCAATTTGGTAAAACAATCTTTACAAATGATATCTTGAAGCAGCCACTATTATCACAATAAAACAAAAATATTAATTTATTGAGCCCTAATAAATAAACATTTTTCGAGCATTTTAAGCCACACAATATATTTTAAATATAGTAACTTTTGCTCTATTCATATTTAACTTTATTAACTAATCATTAGAATTAGAAAATAACAATAAGAAATTAGTTAATTAATTATATCAACATCAAATAGTTAGAACTTTGTCGAAGTTAAAATTGATGAAGAATCTGAAGTCAAGGAAGATAAAAAAAAACTGGAGAACAATTATAATGAAAAAAAACCTGAAGATAAAATGCCTTCAAAATATTTTGCAATTAGCTCAGAAGATGATTGTGTAGTCAAATTTATATTAAAGAAAGATTTTGGTAAATGTTTTACAGAATAACTGCTTAATTAAATATGTAATTTGTTAAATATTTTGTATTATTTGTATTACTAATAGACTTTTATTTAATTTAGAATTCAAATTGCAAATTTATACTATTGAAAAATTGCATAATAAGAAAGGTGATTTGGAGTTGAAGGATAATTTAAAATCAGAGAACAATATATATCTAGAAGATGACAAGAAAACATTATACAGGAAACTTTCCAGTATCTCTACCATCTTTAAATTTACGAATGAACAACTAAATTTGATTAAAAATAAACATAAAAACATATTTAGATAGTCTATTGCTGTATCAGATAAATCAACTAGCTTACTAGAATATAGATTATTAGCAATATCTTTTATTAATATTAAGAATATAAAATATTATAAGAAAAGTCCCGATGGAATACATCCAATAGAAACCCTCAATCATGGATGTTTTTGTTTTTATGATTAAGAATGATGATTATTCAATTTGTAATATTAAAAAATTGCTGATTGAATATAGTAGAATAGTCAAATTATTTTCTAAAAATGACAATACAACTAATCAAAAAGCTGAAAAAAATAACAATAAGTAGATAATTGACAAAAGTGTTCAAAGTAATGATGTACACTTTCTTGTTATCTTAGCATTCTCAGGAATATACAAAGTTCATATTAAGATAAAAAATAAATCTATTAATATCAATAATGTTCAAAAGTTAAAATATCCAAAAAAAATATATAATGTAATCATTCATAATACAAATATTTTTTTTTAGAATTGATGAAGAATACAATAAGGCATGCTATAATGCATATGATTCTATATGTAAATATATTAAATATTGCATAATAAGCATTATTTTTTGGTTGATACAATAAGTGAAGAAATTGGATATGTAGAACTATATGATTTAAAGACAAATCAATTAGTGAATATCTTTTAAAGACAAATTTTACACAAATTGATAATTACAGATATTCCTACTTTATCATATGCAATATCAAATAACAATAAATTATTAGCATATATGTCTTCATCTATTAAAGAGATTGAATTATATTCAATTGAATGAGTCTTAAAATAGCAGAGCTTATAGATATTCTAGATATAGAGGGTGTAGATAAAGAAATTTTTATTGATTTTTTTCATAATAATAAGATGCTATTTATATATCTTTTAAAAGACAAATGGACTGTCTGAAATATTTTCAACTCATTACAAGATTCTATTAAATTAGAGAATTCGGAATTTATATTAGAACTCCTATTAACAAATTTTGATTGCCATCAAAAAATAGAATGATTGAATTCATTTATGTTTATTGATAAGAATGACAAACTGTTTATTCATAATGATTTAATTGTAGATAAATATTTAAAGAATTTAAAAAAAAATAGTAAACAGGATTGGAAGCAATTACCAAGTGAATATTTTTTGAAAGATGATCTTGATAATAAGGTCTGAGATCTTTATGATAATGAATTAGAGTTAGATGAATATTATCAATTCTTGATTTCTGGTTATTTGATCTCTATAATAGATATTCTCGATATTCATTCTATTTTGATGAAAAAAAACAAAATTACTTTTAATTAGAAAATATACAGTTCAAGTCTGGCATAATCAAGGTTCTAAAAAAAGATCTCTTGAATTAATTATATTTTTATATAATTGGTGTAGCTTGTACTTGCAAAAAATTTTTAAAGATGAAGTGAAGCAATAGAATATTAATAATGTAGAAATAACAGATATAAAATATTGTGTTAGAAAATTCGAGCTTAAACCCAAGTTTAGCATTAAAAAAATTAATGAGAATTTTCATCAAATTAAAATAAAAAACAAAATTAAAATAGAAAGTAAAAATAAAATAGAAGATGAATTTAAAATTAGTGAAAATAAAACAGAAGATGAATTTAAAATAGAAAGTGAAATTGATGTAAATAATAAAATTAAAACAGAAGGTAAAGATAAAACAGATGAAATTAAAATAGAAACTAAAATTAAAATAGAAGATTATAAAATGACCTGCGGGTCGATAGCGAAGTGGTTACGCTCCCAGGTTACCAATCGCAAGGTTGCCGGTTCAAGTCCAACAGGGGACGAAAAACTGAG